TGGTCTCTTTACTGATGGAGGTCTGATAGAGGACCAGGACTACACTGAGACTGGTTCATGTAGAGGACCAGGACTACACTGAGACTGGTTCATGTAGACGACCAGGACTACACTGAGACTGGTTCATGTAGACCAGGGGTCACCAACCTTTTTGAAACGGAGCTACTTGAAGGGTACCGAGTAGTACGAAGGGCTGCTTGTTTGATACAAACCTCCTGAATAACAAAGTTGCACAGATCACCTTAATAATAATAATAATAATAATAATATGTGTGGAGACACTGTCTGATCACATGTCAATGTTAATTATTCCTCACAATAATTATTAACAATGATTTCCACAACATGATGGTAGAAACACAGATATATTTAAACTTTTATTTCTGTTCTTCTGTTTCAACATTTGAAGGTCAGAGGTATCACATCTCTGATGTTTTAGTAAATGTCTTTCTTGACAGTTTTGTATGAATAAGCACATTTCCAGCATTTGGTTCAAAATCACACCTGTTATATTTTTGTAAAAATGATCATTTTCTGTGAAATCATTAACTGTCATATCTTCACATCATGTCTCGTTGGTAATAACCACTTTTGTAACATTTTTGAACAAATCAGCTCTGTCCCATGTTTATACAAATGATCAGTTATGAATGTCCTGTGTTGTTTGCTTTGGATCGGATGCCATTTATGATCTTCAGACAGGAGTCATCACGTGATCAAAGCCGGTTACTCCTGCACACAGCGCCTGCTGGTGAATGATGCAGTGGTAATGTAGACATTTTGGGAAGTCTGGGTCACCTTTACATTGCGCAATGAAGCCTGCATGCCGGCCCGTCATGGCGGGAGCCCCGTCTGTTGTCACCGACACCATTTCTAACGGTACCTTTTTCTCCACGAAGAAACTAGTAACCAGTCTGGTCTATAGCCGAGGGGGGATCCAACCCTCCGAGGCGCGCGAGTATCTTCGGGCGCCCGCGTTCAAACCTCTAGTCTGGGCCTTTTCGGTCGGATTGCGTTGCCTCGCCTCTACCCCCGCCACCCAAGAGTTGTTGCCCCGCGGCCTGTTCCGAGGACTGACGGACCTGACGCTCGCGGCGCGCGTCCGGCGCCAACGGGAAGCGCCCGCCATTCGGAACCTGAAAACCCAGTGCGGTACGGCAGCCTCTTCCTGGCTGTCCGCCGTGCTCCTCTGGGTACCCAACTCTCTTACGACAAGAAATATTGTCATTTTAAAAACATTCATGCAAGCGTTTTTGATTAAAAATGAACAGCAACTAAAACTTTTAGACTCACACCAACTTTAAGTAGTACGGCAGAATATACGACGGGTGACATCATCAGTTTGCTTTCTGGGTAATTTAGGCTCCTTTCAAACTAACGAAACGTCCGACTAAGATCGCTCTGCTACTACACAGAAAGGTGTATTTCCTTCTTGTGAAATACCTTCAGATTTGTCACCAGCTGTAGTCTGTATCGGAGTCTGTTGTCTTTTTGGAGATGAGTTCAGGACCCCCCCCCCCAAGCTTCCACAGCAAACACTTGAGAGCAGCTTCATTATCACACTGACATCTCTCATCACAGCCAGAGGACGACGCTCTGTCATCCCTGTGAGAGGCTTCACACTCGGACTCCTTTATTTACTGTGTTTGTACTGTAGATGAAGACAAAGCTTCATGTCTTACAGCTGCGATCTCTCTAATGTCCAGCAGACGAACGTTCCGGTGGTATCTTGCACTGTGTACAGTTCGGTTCAGTTCCCAGGGTGAGATCTGAACCACAGAGCAGAGAGCCTGAAACATGTCTCCCTCCTCCTGACATGCAGCAGAGCTGGACACTGACGTCCGGCTTGTACGACGCCGGTTTAATTAGCAGAGATCGACAATCAAACGGCTGATAATGACTCTGACACTGTGTGCTAACACTCATCATCACATACACATCAACACCATTTACCCCCACCAGCTTCCTTTAGTGAAGCTTTAGAAAGTGCTTTTGCTCTGCAGTTTGAGGTACCGGTGTGTACTTCTACCACAGGCTGTATATAAGAAGTGGACGTAGTCATCGTGACGTCACTCATTGGTTTGTGGACTGATGTTATGAAGACTCGAGTTTGGTGATTTCGCCGTCGCCATCTTGGATTCGCCATTCGCCATGTTTTTTTTTGTTTGCTGCCAGTGAACAGGAAGTGAGCATATCTGGACTGAGGAGTGACGTAGAGACACTGTATACGTCTCTGGTAGAGACCTGTCAATCACCGTGTAGCCCCGCCCTAAAGCATCCCCTGCTTTATGGTCTGTTTGACTCTAAATGGACCATAATGTACTAAATGAACATCATGCTGTATTGAAGAAGACTTGAAACTAGAGATTGAGACCATAAACTCATGTTTACAATGTTTACTGAGGTAATAAATCAAGAGAGAAGTAGAGTGATTTTCTCATAGACTTCTATACAACCAGAGGAGTCGCCCCCTGGTGGACACTAGAGAGAATGCAGCTTTAAGACACGTGTCTGTGGGCGTGTCTCTGTATCTTCTGTATCGTCATTTCACCGATAGTGAAAGGAAGTCGTGAGATTAAACCTTAAACTGCTGAAGGTCCCTGAGCTGTTGGAGGATTTATGAAGAGGAATCTTCAGCTAAATCCCCCCCCCCCCCCCCGTTGATAAAAAGGCTTAGACAGGTAATTGTGTCTCAACGCCTCCCCCCCTTCCTCTCTCCCCCCTGGACGCCCACCAGCTTTTAAGCTCTGAGCTTTTTAATTTCTCTTCCAGGGTTGGAAAGTTTTTATGATCCTCTTGAAACCGTCTCACTTCAGAAAAACACTCGTGGATAAATAAGAGAGCACATTGTTTTTATAGTCGGACTCTGGGTTTGTTTAGGACCCCGGATCGGTGATCGATGTCCTCGTCTGGAGGACCAGCCTCCTCTCGCCAACAGACTAACTTCCCCCCCCCCCCCTCCATCCATCTCTCCTTTCCTTCTTCCTAGCCTGACTCCCTATGGGTGTCTCCTACCTCCCTTTCCTCTCTTCTTCTCCCTTTTTCTTCCAGATCTCATTTCTTTTCCCTCCTGCTTTACTCTCATCTTTCCTCCCCCACTTTCTTCTCTACCTCCCACGTTTTGTCTGTCCCCTATCCCTTCCAGCTCTCCATTAATGCCCATCCATTTCCATTCATTTTTTTCCCTTTTCAACCATCCTTTCCTCTTTTTTCCCTTTTCAACCTTCCTTTCCTCTTTTTTCCCTTTTCAACCATCCTTTCCTTTTTTCCCTTTCCCTCTCTACTTCCATGCCTCCTATCCTCCCTTTTCTGCTTTCCTCCTCTCCCTCCCTCATCCACCGTCCTTCTGCGGTGGATTTCTCCCTCGCGGTGGCTGTAATTCGCTCAGAGATGGATGGACCGGCGCTGCAATCACCCCCCTCCTGCTGTGTTTGATGGATCTCAGTGGTTGGAGTCATTCCTCTGCGTTAGCTCCCCCCCCCCCTCGGTGGCAGGCTGATGAAACGGAGGGAGCTTCTGTTTTAATGTGTTTCTAAAGGCCCAAATGTCACTGGATGCTCTCTCAGGGTCCTCACTATGAAGCTAGACTTCAGACCACTACTACCCCCGGAGCCTCCAGTGCTGCAAACTCTAAACTTCTGCTCCCTGTCAGTCATAAGTCTGCAATTCCTGTAGGTTTTGGAGATCTGGAGGTCATGGTGGTCATTCGAGTAAACTGTGATGTTTGTTGGAGTAACCGTGTTCAGATGATGATGGATTTAAGGTCCTTAATCCTACTGAAAGCATCCTTTTAAAAAAGAAAATGGAGAAACATTTATGACCAGGTGCTAACCTCTATTGCTGAAGAGTGAAGTCAAAGCTTCATGTCTTAAAGCTGCATTCTCTCTAGTGTCCACCAGGGGGCGACTCCTCTGGTTGTATAGAAGTCTATGAGAAAATGACTCTACTTCTCTCTTGATTTATTACCTCAGTAAACATTGTAAACATGAGTTTATGGTCTCAATCTCTAGTTTCAAGTCTTCTTCAGTACAGCATGATGTTCATTTAATACATTATGGTCCATTTAGAGTCAAACAGACCATAAAGCAGGGGATGCTTTAGGGCGGGGCTACACGGTGATTGACAGGTCTCTACTTTTTTGCATTTTCTAGCCTTTCTTTCTTAGAATTGTCCAGATGTCACATAATCTTAATGAGAATATTACTTTACCTTATTGTTCATCTGTGTGCAGGTACGTTATTGTGCTCTCTGTATAACAGTGGAGTTGAATGAAGACATCGAGGAGTAGAAACAATCCTTTTGTCTGTTTGCTGTGAAGAGATTTTCGGATGTGTGTCGTACCGTCCCACCTGAGCGTTTCCAGAGAGCTCGAGTTTCTTGTGACGTCTTCCTCCTCCTCTTCCTCCTCTTCCACCTCCTCCGCCTCGGAAACTTGAACCCTGGGATTTCATCCGACTTGGTTTCCATTTCCTCGCTTTGTCTACCCGGCATGAATATTTAAATGAGAAAATACTGAGCTTCCACCACCTCCGCAACAAATCCACTATCTCCAGTTGGATCATAATTCCACTTGAAACACATCCATCATGAGGTGCAGAGTGCTTTCTGGTCACTGGTTGGATGTTTACAAGGCGGCGCCACAGGGAAGGTGACTGCTCAAGACTTCTGCTATCTGATGCCCTCCAATGCATCTGAAGCCTCTCTACTGTATGAATAATGGGACGCGTCAATGAATACCCTCTGTGTGAGGCTCAAAGGGAATCCCACATTATTCACCCCCAGAACTAGAGAGTCAACTGAATCTAGACAGCATTCACACAATATGTTTACCAGCACAACATGCAAGTCAGCTTCAGGGAGTAGTTTTGCATGGTTCCCTGAAGGCATCATGATGTAACTGAAGTGAACCTCCGTTGGTTAGCCGTTAGCGGTGCTGCTAACGTTACTAGCTCTCCTGCT